ATACTATCATCTTTATTTTTATTAGTTGATTCTTGAATTATTTGAATATTTGAAAGTTTATAGTTTGAAAATTTATACAATTCATAATTTGAACTTTCTTGACAAAACATGTTTACCAATTCATCTTTATAGGTTAAAATTAATAGATATGTTTCATTTCTTTGTATTTAAATAAAAATTCTATTAATGTCAGACTTTAATATTAAGATGTATAAAGTTTTTATTATTACTTTTTTAAAAAACATTGGATCAGGTTTTTCTATAGAATTAATCAAATGTTTATATAAAAAAAACCTACTTTGAATATATGCAGAGCATGCACATATCTATTTGACTGGATCCGTAAAATACTTGTTATTATTATTAGTTTATGTAATTTTATTTTCATACTCTTTCATTCTTGTTAAACTCTTTACATCATGATACCAACTCACAATTTTCTCTAAGCATATGAATTCGATGTAATTGTCAAGTAATAACTTTTTTTATAAAAATATAACACAAATGATTAAGTCATAGTTTATAAAACTTATATAAGTAATCATGCTTAATTTAATACTAATAAGATTCAACAGTCATTATTATTTTAATATGAATGATTTTTTCATTAGCTGATCAAGACTATAGATTTTATTTTTCTCTAGAATACCATTTCTTCTAAAAATAAATCTATAGTTGAAGCAAGTTGTTATTTTTACAAAATTGTATCATTTCACTAACACATTCTTTTCAAATTTTATTAGTATTTGTATTAAAAGTATTATTAGGTTTGGGTAATGATATCTTGAATGATTCTCAACTAATTCAATTACAGATTTTTATAAACTTAAAGGACATAATATCTATGAATTTAAATTATTTATTAATTCTCAATTTGGATCTATAACAGAACATTCTTGATGTGCAATTTTAGGATTATAACTATAATATATATTTGGTTTACTAGAAGCTAATTGTTGTTTTACTGCCCATTATATATGCCAAATGCATAACTGTAAATGAGCTTCAGACCAAACAGCCTATGCTGCATTAATTTCACTATAACCTTTGTCAGTAAGTATAAAAAAAAAAGATTGCAAACCATATTCTTTTAGAACACATATCTATTAAAAAAGAATATTTGTTATTTTCTGTTTTTTCTTACTGAAATCAAAAGATAACTAAAAGGAAATTTAGCACTATTGATTATATCTAAAAGTGAATATAGTTCACATACTTAATTATTAGTACTATAGGTTGTATCAATTGCAATTGCATCTAGCTTATTACGAATTAAGGGATTAAATAATGAGATTAAAAATTCAAAAGTTGGTATAGAAGAATCCAAATTATCTATAATAATCCTTTGGTTAAACTCTTTTAATAAGCATTTAGCTGATATTAAAGAATTAGAATTACGAAAATATACTTTGTGAGATTCTATGAACCACTAGTAATAAGTTTGCAGAATGCTAAAGTTTTTATATCTATTAATACAATTATCTTAAACTTGATGTTAAATTTCAAAAATACTAGAATTAATATTATTCTGAATAAATTTTTTAATTTCAAATGTTGTTGAACCATGCCTTGGTCATGAATGCAATATCTTATAAGAATATTTAATTTTAATTAAATTTAGATTAAATAAAATTTCTATTCTTTATAATTATATCATTTAAGAAAGGTAAGAATATCCTGTTACTTATTTAATTCAGGATGTTTTGCTTGTCATTTTCCAAGTTCAATCTGGCAATTGCAAAAATAAATTAAAAGCAATAAGTTTTTTTAGAAGCTTTTATCTTGATAAGCCTATAAATAACCATCTCTATCAGAAACAAAAGAAACAATATAATGACCAATTTTGAATTCAATATTTTTTTTTTGTGATTCTTTATCTTCTAAAATAATATTATGCAAAGACAACAATTCAACATGAAAAATTAAATCTAATTCGTAATTCTTACATTCATAAAACTTATCAGTATTATCTAATGAAATTAAAGCATTATACACAGTTTTGGTAATGTCTAAATAGTTAATTGTCATATTAGGTTGTTCTTTATTATTCTTTAAATGTGACAATTTAATCTGGTTTTGGCATTGTAAATACTTTTTATTTTGTTTCTCTTTTCATTCAAAAAATCCTCACTATTTCGAGTGATATGATATTTTTTACAGAAGTTGGTTTGTTTGTCTGATATAATTAAAAAAAAACTGATTTATAAAAATTTTTTTCTTAATTTAAATTTGCCTATAATCAAAAAAAAATTTTCAAATAAATATAAAATAAAATAAGACAAGCAAATATTATAAAAATTTTAGAACATTTACATTAATTTGCTTTTGCAATAGCAGTAATGATAGTAGAAGAAAATTTTATTTGTTATTATATAGTAATGATAATGAATTTTACAAGAGCACAGACTTTTTTTTGATTTGTAATCAATATTGTTATTAATCAAATTCAAATCACAAAATCACATATAACTGATAAATCTATCCAGCTATCATTTTTTATAGGTGATGCTAGGGTTGTTACATTCTTATATCAGAATTACCAGTTTGATAGACCAAATTTGAAGTACTGAATTTTTAATATATAATTTATAATAGTTATAATGGATTTAATAGTAAAAAGGCCATATTACATATAATGAAACTCTTTGCCAGCCCATATACTAATTTTATTATAAAATTCTAATGTAATATATATATATTTGTTTAACCATTATAATGCAATTCAGTCTAACTCTGTTATTAATTTCGTTATATAAGTATATAGATATATAGGTCTTATAACGAATATGCTATATAACAGAATTTTTTGGTCAGCCCAGATTTTCATTATATCCATAGTTGACAGTACAATAATTTTTATTATTTTTTACTGAATCTGATTAGCAACTGTATAGAACTACATATATCAGCTTTACATATATATCAAATACAATTTTCAAAATGCATTAACTTCTTACAGTGATGAGATTTTGAAAAAGATATATAAAACTGATATAGTTCTATAAAGTTACTGGTCTAAAAAATTGAACCACCTTATGTAACCATTAAGTATAAAAATATCAACCCACTTATTTGTTATTTTTAATATAAATGAATCAAAAAAAATTTTTGTTTATTAAAGGGCATAAAAGTATAAGTTTGTCACTTCGTTTCAGACAATAATGTATTATTATTATATAGAAATTTGGCATTAAGATTAATACATGACAGAATAACTTAACATTAATCAGCTAATTTTGTTACCAGAGAATAATGATTAAATTATTATTTTATCCAGCTGACTAAAACTATATGGTGATTTCCCTAGCAAGAATCTGATTGGCTGATTCACTAATGTGTTTGTATTAACTCATACAGGGGGATCTCCAAAATTCCAGGTCAGAATACATCAGAATTATGATTAGTAAGACTGAAATTAACTAATTTTGCCTAGGGATATTAAACCGGTTAAAATAAACTGTTTCAGTTCTGAACTGGCAGTGCATTACATAAACTAAATCTAACTAGTTTTTAATAGTTTGTTACACAAATTTATATTGATAATCTTTTTCAATATTCTGAAAGCAAAAATAACTATATACTTTATTATATTTTATTTATTTTTTTTTTAGTACTGCTTTAATTTTCTTCTACATACTTTATTAAACTTGTTGCAAACCAAGTTTTAAGACAGAAAAAAGCACAGACCTTTTTTGGCTCAAGATGATTTCTAGTTGGACTAATAGTAAATTTGGTTATACTGAACATTTGTTCACTTGCTACACTTGTTGCATGAACTACTAAGTAATTATATGCCATACAAGCAAGTTGAATCTATTGAGAATTTTTAGATTTAGTTTTCCAGTAATCAAGAATATTAATTTCTTCAGGTAAATCAAGATATTCTTTAAGAATATCATCATGATTTATAAATACACCATATTTTTTGTGAAAATAATCATAAGAAGTTTCTAATCCAGAAGGTTTTGTCATCGAAATGTTATCACTTCTGATTGCATAGTTTGTTTTATAAGTTGTATAAATAATATGTCATGCTTTATACCTTTTTTTTCATTATCAAATAACATTAGCTTGTTATTTGGATCGAGAATTACAGCTTCATTAAAGGTAGTTTTAAGCTTGTCCCAATATTTATCTAATTTTTTTTCATCTTTTGTGTAGCTTATTGTAACATATTATTATCATTTCAAATATTATTTATTGTATTTGCAATAATAGAAACATTATACGAAGATTTTCAAGTGTTGGATAGCTTGATGAAAAAAGAAAATTTGTTACAAGATAAATCAGTTCGAGTAATATAACAAGCATCTAAAGGAAATAAACATTTATTATTATTAATTATTATTATTATTATTTTTCTTAATAAATATTTATACTAACATCAAGCTCTTGCCAATCAGTATTGGTAAGATAAATATTTATAAACGATGGATTCAATGTAACTAAAATATCAGTAATATCATGAATTCTATGTAATTTTTCTATCATTATATATGTAGAATTTCATCAGATGCAAATGTCAATTTCAGGTACTAAAAAAGAACGTTGTTTCATTTCAAATATTTTTTTAATTCTTCAAAAAGAACTTGAGATGAACATATAGCTGATGTAAATCATTTAACTTTTTTAATTGAAGATCCAACTACATCAAGACTGTCTTTTATTATTAAGTTTAAAACATGTGCTACACACCTAATACGATGAAACAATCTATTTCCATGGTTATCTAAAAGCAAATATGCAAATTCATGTCCAAACACATTCATATTTGAAGTATTATCTGTAATTACTTATATAATTTTTTCTCCAAGATCAAAATCATTAATAATATTATAAATAGTATTTGCTAGTATAATCCCTGTGTGTTTTTCATGAAAAGGTATTAAGTCTAATAATATATGATACATTTTCCACTCATTACTAATTCAATAGAGAGTTATTGACATATAAGCTTGATTTGTACATGAAATCCATATATCAGTAGTAAGTGCTACATTACTATCATGATTTTTAAAATAACTTTTAAACATTTCATATTGTTTTTCATAAAGATCTTGTATTTTAAGTGAGATAGTTTGTTGTTTTGGTAACTTGTACCAGGGGTTAAGTATTTCAATTAGAAGATTGAATTCATCATTTTTGACAATAGAGAATGGCTGTTGATCACATATGATCCATCTTATAAGTATAGCATTAATAAGTGCAATTTTATTTGGATCTTTTTTCATACTATATACCTCAGTTGATTTATGGGGAAATAACAATTGTTGTTCAATTTGTTCCCATTCAGTTTTGTGATTTTTGGTAAAATGTTCCTTAATTGTACTAACACCTGTACCAGGGTTATAGCGTTGTTGACATATATTGCAAATAATATTTGTATTATTTGCACTCCATGAAAAATGGCTCCAAACTGGATGACATGGTCTGCTCTTTTTTACCGGTCTTGTGAATTCAGATTCATTGTCAGTATTGTTATCATTAGAACTTATCAATTCTTGAACGTTCATTATGATTTATTAGATTAATGGTTGTATAGATGCAATTATTTTTATGTAATCGCGAAGATTTATTAAATTCTTGAGTATTTATACGTTATATACAAATACAAAACTTCGGTCATAATTATGCAATGTTATATTAGTAATTTTACATATTTAATTTAATTTATTGGAAATAGATTGAACGATTTATTACAATTATTATTGCTATATGACCAAAAATTTAATATAGCAAAATAAATTAAATAATTCACTAATTATGACATAATGCGTATTATTCCCGTGATGAAGCCTAGCTAGTTATATCATGTGCCTTATTTAATAAACGAACTAGTTCCGCTGGTTCAAACTTAACCATAACGGTCTGAGTTTTGAACTCAGTCAAACTAGTTCAGACTGAACAACTTAATATCCCTAATTTACTGGAAAAGTATAACTGATGCATCAGCTGCATAAGCGGTGATACATCAATAATAGTTTTTCAGTAACTTCAATGGGACCATATTATTTCATTTCAAAGACATCTCATTTCATTGACACATATTTCACCAACAAGCAATTTAATTTCTTAGAGAGTATATTTTATCAACAGCCCATTTCACAGACAAGTTATTTTTTTATACTTCACACTAACCTTAATTCTAATTTCAAATCTAATCCTAACGACAATGATTCGAATTACTTCGTCTGTGAATGGGCTGTCAGTAAAACATACTATCTGTGAAGTGAACCATTCTGTCAACTAAATCGTCTGTAAAATAAGTTTTGTCGGTGAAATGTGCATCAGTAAAATAAGGTGTCTTTGAAGTGATTGTCTGCGAGTTAATCAAAACCACCTTCAATTATACTTACTGAATATAGCTATTATAAATAGATTTTCTATTAACTAAAACCAACGTGAATAAAACAAAAACTGCACAAGTATTATACAATAACCTATGAATTAAGGGTCTAAAATAATGAATAATAATCTTTTTGCGCAATAACCAAGTCAACACAAATAGTCATAGGATATTATTGTGCGATAATAAGTAAAATCTGAGTAGATATGTTAATAAATTATGCTTACTGTAAAAATAAAATAAAATTGAGATCTGATTAGTGAATAAAGTGCATAAATCAGATCAACATGAACAAAAGAAATTAAAGAGGCATTGCACGGTAGAAGTGTCTTTGTTCTCAATACTTGCCTTGATCATAAAAGTTTTTAGGTTTTGTTCAAATTTATTTTAAGAGAAAAAGAAAATGCTTATTTTAATAAAAAATTAAATATGAATTTCTATATAATTTCGAGTCTCATTTACCTTTTTAAAAAAACTAGATCATAAAGGGATCACAACGGATTATAAAACTATGAGTTCTCAACTTTCTTTTTATATATCGTTTAGCTATGGTTAGATACTACGAACTTTAGCTCAAAAACGATTATCAATAGCCAATCAAAGCTCGGCAGATCATTCTAGAAATGTTCTAGAATCGATTTCCATTTATGGTAATATCCCCGACTGTAGTTTTAGGCCGTAACACTAGTCACGTGCCACGTGACTTCTCCGGGTAACAATACGTACAATCGATTTTAATAAATAATACAATAAAGTTTATTATTTTGAAATCTATTTTAATAGTCGGTTAAAATAAAATTATAATGACGGATGCCAGTGCAAGGATTATTTCAGGAGCATTTAATTGTTTAGACTTTTTTCTATTAAATTTGAAACAATTGGTGAATAAATTGTATACATATTAAAATTTTATCTACATTTTAAATTATATTTGAATTGATCTAATTTAAAAAAAAACACAAGCTAAGTTAATTGTTTCTTATGAAATTTTGTAAGCTATTTGCTATAAATACTTCCGAGTAGGTTTTAAAAAAATTTCCTTTGTGAATTTTTAAAATTTAAACCTTGTAAAAGTCAGGTCTAAAGAAATATTAATTAATATTGCGCAGCCTAATATATTGCCGATCATTTCCAAATAAGGTTTGTTTTACGTGAGCAAATAAGTATTCGCGTATATGTTGACTATATTCGGAAAATCTCCACGATACTAATTGTTGTATTTGCTTTGTTTATGGCTGTACAACAAATATCAGTCTAGTTTTTTTGCTTAAAAATGGTCGAAAATTTTTTATTCAAACATTTTTTTTTTGTAAAAAAAAAATTTCTTTTGCGAAAATGTTTTATTCTTTGATACTTTCTGGTATTGAAACATCCTTAAAAAAATTTATTGAAAATCTTTCTATTACCTCAACTAATGTAATTATTAATGATTTTGATGGGATTTAGATGCACGCAATCGACCTCTTACAGATGAACTTTCCTTCAACTTAGTACAAAATTTTGGACCCACCACCAGGATACGTTCCCATTAGAACACCTGCTCGCAAATTAATGGCTACTCCAACGTCTATGGGTGGGATGTTGGAGGAGGGCCGAAATCAAACTTATGACCTACTCGCTGAAATTCCAGGTGTAGGCAATTTGTCCTTTTTAAAACAAGAAGACATGCAACACTTCGGTAAATTATTAGAAGACAAAGATGAAGGCGAATTATCTGTTGATGAGTTGAAGGAACGCAATATTATGCTCGTCTTCTGAAGATAAAGAATGGAACCTCGCCCATGAGAAAGGCGTCACTTCGACAAATAACTGACAAAGCTCAAGATTCTGGTACGGGCCTCTATTCAATCAAATCCTTCCACTTTTGATGTCGCAAAATTTAGAAGATCAGGAAAGACATTTGTTGGTTAAAGTTATAAACCGTATACTTTATAATTGGATGCTTTGATTCATCCTTATATTCATAAGATCTTTGTGGTTATTGAACTGCTCTTGATCGATGAAGATTATTTCGCACGATGTGGTAAGTTATATGGAATTCGTTATATTAAATGGCCATATGTGCGCTACACTTTTTGTTTTTACTTTGATAATTAATATTATTTGTATTCCTAAAATCAGTAAATGATGGGATTATAAATAAACGAAAAAGCGAATTGTTTCTTTTAAAGAACCTAATTCTCTTACATCGATATTCATGAACAATATAAAATTTTATTTTTCCTAATCCAAAGTAAATGGTAAGTTATTTCTTACTAAATACATGTTGTTAGCATATATTTGTTGGCTTTTTTTTTCAACAAATATATGTAATGATCTCTTGACAATCCGATGTGTAAGTTACGCTGCGGTTGAGTGAGGTACAGACT